CTTGTCAATGATACAGGTCTATAATTGAGGGGGTCTTCCCTGCTGCCACTTTTGTAGATTGGAACTATGTTAGCCTGTTTCCACCCGTCTGCTACGATTCCTGTACACAGGGATGCCTGAAAGATCAGGTGAAGTGGAATGCTGAGCTCAGATGCACATTCTCTCAGAACCCATGGTGAAACGCCATCTGGGCCAGCTGCTTTGTTCTTACCGAGCTCCTTGAGCATTTTTTCCACTTCGTCTCTAGACACCTCTATGTGTTCTATGTGTGTGTGTGTGTGTGTGTGTGTGTGTGTGTGTGTGTGTGGAATATGCAGTAGTTGTTTGGTACCCATGTCTCAAGAAGCACATCAATAAACTGGAGAAGGGGCAAAGGCATGCTTCAAAATGGCTTCCGGATCAGATAAACAAGAGTTACGAAGATAGACTAGAGGTGTTAAACATGCCAAAACTAGAAAATAGAAGAAAAAGAGGTGATATGATCACCACTTACAAAATACTAATAGGAATTGACCAAATTGACAAAGAGAAATTCCTGAAACCAGCAACTTCACAAACAAGAGGATACAGATTCAAGCTGAGGAAACAAAGGTGCCAAAAAATATTTTAAAGTTTTCTTTTGCATACAGAGTGGTATATGGTTGGAATAAGCTAAGCGAGGTGGTGGTGGAGGGCAAAACTGTCAGTAGTTTCAAAGTGTTATATTGCAAAGAGTACTGGGAAGACGGGACACCATGAACGTAGCTCTCGCCCTTTAACTACCGTACAGTAAAATTATTACACACAGAGGCTTCCTCTCCCTCATAAAATGAATTATACTGTATATCACATATGTATCAGCATGTCGAGGAACAGCATGTTATTGCCATTGGCAATCTGTTTTACCACTACTAACAGTAAAGCCTAGGAATAATGTATTTATATTAGAAAAGACATAATGTGGCCACATCCAAAGTTTATGGTAAAATAAGCAATTCCTCTAAGAGTGGTGAGCCACCACCAACTGTGCCAATAGATGTGCCACAGGGCTGTTCCTCACCCTCATTCTTACATATGGAGTCACTTTCATCCACTTCTAACTCATTCTCAAGTTAACAACTACTTGATTAATAGACTCGGTAATAATATCCTCTATATAATAAGGTAGTGACTCCATGCTGACAGCTCATTAATTTAGACTTTGATGACATGAATCTACGAGTTAGCTGGCCAAAATCATTAAGCCGTCTAGGCCCCCAAATTATGGGGATTGGCATTAGTTCCCTTAACAAGATGACGTGTTCATGTGCTTCCAAATAGGCAAATACAGTACATTAAAACAACACATTAACACCTCGGTGTTGTGATGACGTTCTCGCAGTCTTTAAAACAATACACATAGTGGTACATGGCATTAACGCTATCAAGAACTATAATATTTGTGAAAATTCCATTTATTGTTCAATTATTTTGGGACTTGTTTTAAAATGTGCGCCAACATCTTTTCCATTCTCTGCATACCCCATATGGCATCACAACACCGCTCGCTGCATGGGTAGCCTCCCATGATGACGTTCTTTATCTTACGATATTGGTAATGATGTTCTTCTATTGACCTTATATGCATATATCCCTTTAGAGCATTCTATTGCGAACAATTTGATATCAAATGAACGACATAACATGAAAATTGATGTGAGAAAACTGGAAAGAGTATAAGCATTGGAGTGTGGTTGTGCACTTACAGGCAACGCTCGGCTTACCTTGCGGTGCACTGCGGATGGCCTGCTGGGCCAGGCAAAGTGTTAATAATGTGAAATATTCAAATTATATAACACATTTTAACAGACAATTATTGATTGTTAGAATAGAATGTATAGTATGCAGACAATGAGTCACAATAACATGGCTGAAGATATGATGACCAAACCACACCTTAGAAAATGAAAACATTATGATAATGGTCCACCCTGGACCATTATCATTGTAAGATTCCCTTCCTTACATCAAGCCTTGTGAAACATGGCTTGATGATGGTCCAGGATGGACTGAAATATTGTCATTTCTTCACTTTTTGATATGTGGTTTGGTCATGTGAATACCATATGGTTTGTCTGCATACTGTATATCCTATTCTAACAACCAATAATTGTCAATAATGTTAAAATGTTCTATATAATTTGAATGTTTTATGTTTGGTCATCATATCTTATATAATTTCAGCCTATCCTTAGTGTAAAGTGATTTCCCTGAAACACCAAACACATTCTCACACCACATGGATAGTCATCTAGATATTTGTGATAGTCTGAAGCATATAATACTCCCTGTAATAGTCTACTTATAAATTAGTAAATGAACTTTTGTCTTAAAGAAGATTCTAAAGTATAACTTTATTGTGTTAACTCATTGGTTTAAAATAGAGGCTATGCTTAACTTATTTTATTTGAAACTGAAGAATTTGGTTTTCTGTAAATGAAATTCTAGGGGATATTCAAATAGTTTTCAAATTTCATATTTCTTCAGAATAAGGCATCATATTAACATAACCAAACCTAACCTAACACAGCCTTAACCCAACGTAACCTTAACCCAACGTAACCTTAACCCAATGTAAGCTTAACCTAACTTAACCTTGACCTAACGTAACCTTAACCTAACCTAACCATGGATAGAGAGTAGATAATAGCCTTAATTATGTAGTGGTTTTGAAGTGATTAGTCCAGGGGTACCTTCTCCCTAAGGACCGGTTTTGTAATGTACAGTGCCTGCTAAAACAAATTCTTTTTCTGGTGGCTTATGTACTGTGACTCAACTGGACCTATCCTGATCCCCTGAGCTAGATTTTCCAAGTGTGGCACTTAGTAAATATTTTTTTTTTTTTTTTTAGGGTTTTCCTTTAGTACAAATTTTGCAAACTTTTATCAAACAAAATGTGTAAGAGCAACAGTAATCAACCTGGAGGTAGTTATAGGAAGTTAAATGTTCCATCATTTAAAGATAAATAAGTTATTAAACTTTGTGAGAATGCCAGTGCTGCTGCTGCGAGTGTGGAGAGAGAATTTGGTACCTGCATATGTACTCACCTAGTAGTACTTGCCTAGTTGTGCTTGCGTGGTTGAGCTTTGGCTCTTTGGTCCCTCCTCTCAACCGTCAATCAACTGGATGTACTGTGTCTGCTGTGCAGAAACAAAAAAGTGTATACTGTACATTAAGTATATGATTGTTAGTAATAGTAAAGAGCAGTTAGTAAAAATTCTAATAGAAAGCGTTAATATAAATACATTGAAGTCTCTACGCTGTGTGTGTGTTACTTAGTTTTTTAGCCGAAATAACTTTAGTAACTTAATCTAATTATGCCTAATATTGTGTTACTGCTTAATAGGTAAACTAGGCCTAGTTTGTTGGCAATTTATGTATTTCTAAACATCAAAGTTGATAAATGTATTCTGCCTGCTAGGCAAAACAGTGTATACTATTCCTAGTACTCTAGATATGTGTGAATTTATATATATACTGTATATATATATATATATATATATATATATATATATATATATATATATATATATATATATATATATATATATATATATATAATAAATAAATAAATAAATAAATTTTATACTAGCTGTATAACTCGGCCACAGCAGCCCTTCCCCGCCTGAGGTTCCAGGTTCGATCCCCGATGGAGGTGGAAACAGATGGGCAGAGTTTCTTTCACCCTGGTGCTCCTGTTACCTAGCAGTAAATAGGTACCTGGGAGTGAGACAGCTGCAAGGGCTGCTTCCTGGGGGGTTGTAAGAAAAAGGAGGCCTGATTGAGGCCTGGGCTGCAGGGACGCTAAACCTCGAAATCATCTCAAGATAACCTCACGATAACTGTTCCCCTGTCCTCCCAACCATTCCCCCACTCCCCCGTCCTCCCAACCATTCCCCCACTCCCCCGTCCTCCCAACCATTCCCCCACTCCCCCGTCCTCCCAACCATTCCCCCTCTCCCCCGTCCTCCCAACCATTCCCCCTCTCCCCCGTCCTCCCAACCATTCCCCCACTCCCCCGTCCTCCCAACCATTCCCCCACTCCCCCTTCCTCCCAACCATTCCCCCACTCCCCCGTCCTCCCAACCATTCCCCCACTCCCCCGTCCTCCCAACCATTCCCCCACTCCCCCATCCTCCCAACCATTCCCCCACTCCCCCGTCCTCCCAACCATTCCCCCACTCCCCCGTCCTCCCAACCATTCCCCCACTCCCCTGTCCTCCCAACCATTCCCCCACTCCCCCTTCCTCCCAACCATTCCCCACTTCCTCGTTCTCTCATCCCCCCCTCCCCACCATACCTCCCCCTCCCCAATCCCTCATCCTCCCCATCCCCCATCCCCTCGTCCTCCCCACCATTCCCTCACTTGAAAACAGTTAAAAAAAAAAACATGGTTTTACCTGTAACAGGTTTGACATCTATATAGTGGGTATATAAAAACATGCGCATATTCGAATGCAAAGGCGTTTCAAAATTTCTAAGCGATCGGTGAAGAATTTTCACAGATTTCCCTCACATGAAAAACTCACAGCATGTGTTGCTTTTGCGTCCAACAGATGGTACTGTTTTAGAAAAAAGCATGTTTTTTCCTGTCACAGGTGTGGCATTTATATAGTAGGTATATTAAAGCGCATGTATTCGAATGGAACGTTGTATCAAAATTTCAAAGCAATCGGTGAAGAACTTTCGGAGATTAGAGATTTTGAACAAAACGAACATTTACATTTTTATTTATGTGATGTAGGATAAATAATTTGTTATAATTTACAATGTGGCTGTTAAGAGCATGCTGCATCTGAGTGTGATTTAGTTTTTGATATGCTTTACTATTTTAATCCTACTTGATTGTAAGACAACATTGAGTAATGGATTATAACATTCTGTTGAGAGCCTGGGTGCCAGACTGGATTATGTTGCAGGTGGATTTTGCATTTTAATTTTTTGTGTAGCTTATCAGTGGTTTTCTTCTTGCCGTACTCTAGCTATTCTGGTACGGATCACAGCAACGTATACTCAAAGAAGTGTGGGAGCCAACAGCAAAGGTGAGACCATTTATGATAGTAATTAATGGTGGTGTCCTTCCTGTTCTGTATTATCACATGGGTATTTTGCTCTGGGATGGTGCAATTGCATGATTATCTTGGTAGCTGTGAAAGTATTATGCTTTATTGAATGTGTATTATTTTTCTTCTAGACTTTACTGTGTTTACAGATGTAATTTTCTCAATGCCTGCATTGTAGAACCATATGTTATTTGCTTTGAAACACCTTATTGTGAAAGTTAAAACATTTTTATTCTTTATAGAAAGCTAATTGGGTGTATTTTGCTTTAAATGTTTAATATGATTTACTTCCTACTATTACTAATAGATCTAAAAGGGCTCAACTTCCTTCAGTTTCATCGTAAGGTTTTTAGCAGCTAGCCTAGGTACAGACCCCATTTTAACACAAATGACATAAATGTTTTAATACAGATCAATGGGAAAAAAATAAATACAATATGTTGGAGAATATTTCCCTTAAACCCTATTTTTGAAGGTAGCTCCATGAATTGTAAACAAAAAGATTGCCAAACTCAAAATGAAAGCCAACCATAGAATTTCCTGGGGGAAAGCCCCCTTCGGCTCCCCGGAGCTATCCAGACTGATATGGACATTCTTTGACTTTGGTATCAGTCAGTGTGAATGAACTTCATAGGCCTACTGGGGACCACGAGCCAGAACCTGGCACCCTCAGAGAGGCACGAGGAGCAATGGCCTATAGAAGTGCACATGTGATTTGGAGAATTCTGTGTCTGTCATCGACCGAGCCAGGCACCCAGAAAGGTAAGTGCCCCAAAACAAACCTCTATTCTGGTTAAAACTACTGAAAGCTAAATGAGTGGACAGAACTCCCCAAATGAAAATGAGAAAATGAGCATGACGTCACATGTGCCACGTCGCTTGTCTGCACAGCTCCCCCCTCCCCTGGGAGGGGTAAGGGGAAGAGGGAGCCCCAGACCTCTCACGCCGGCTATCAAAACCCCCAGTTCTTGGCTGATGTGGCTCGGTGTCGGTAGTGTGACTCTGGCTCCTGATTATTGTTTCAATGCTGTGCCTTGGGTTTGGTGCTGTCTCCATGGTGGTGCTTGAGCTGGGAGTAAATTCACAAGTGCTCGGGCTGCATGCACTTAGGGTACCCTTCCCTTAGTGCCCTGTAAGTACTGTCCTTGCGGCTTGGTGGTTATCTTCTACAAGTCACCTTGAGTCTATCTCTGTTGGATCTTTTGCCGCTTGGTGATAGGCTGCCCTGAGTGTGCTGGGGAGATTTTCTTCCCTTGTTTATCTTCGCATAAGAGGTAGTTTGCACTGGTAATGGCGAGGGGTACTGCACAGATAGTTTTCACCTATCATAATGGCTGGCTCTGTTCCGCCTGGGTACGTTGACCTCTTGCAGGGTTTTTCTTTTTTGTTTGATTGTGTCTGGTGGGGGTGGGGTGGGGGGTTCTGCCCTTGTTGGATTTCCCTGGCTATAATTTGGGTATATTGTTGTATGGTGGTATTCCCTGCTAGGCCCCTGTGAGTGGACATGTCCCGGGGGTTCAGCTTTTTAGCAGTTTGTTTGGTAATCTTGGGTGGCGGTTCACAGTACCCTGCCTGGGCTTCCCTTAGAGGTACAGATCTAAGGGTCTTGGAAAACCCCACAGGGGCACTAGAGTCCGATGGATGTGACCCTTGGGGTCCCCTCTCGTCTTGTGTGGGTTTGAGGGTTGCTCTGTGCCCTTGTCTCAAGGTGACTCATTATTTTTGCCTCCGTTATGCTGCCTGTTAGGTCGGTGACACCTTCGACTTGGAGTCCTGCGAGTTTTGTTGCTTGCTTTGAAATTGAAATTGAAATAAGTTTATTGAGATAGAATACACACAAAGGGATGAGGTAGCTCAAGCTATTCTCACCCTGTTTAGTACAAAGTGTTCATACATATATAGACACACATCACAAACAATAAACATATTGCTGAACATTCTGAGAGATAAACATGTACATTTCCTCCTTTACACAAGTAGTATGGTATCAGACGTACACACAAATACTTTTATGATTAGGTATACTGTATAAAAAATTTGCAAGAGACATGCAGATAATTTAACAAAAGATTACAGTCTTACAAACTGTAAGTCTTTTGCATTACATGCAAAATTCTTATCTCTCCAGAATATTATCAACCTTTTCGTTGTGACACATCCAGGCTATTTGTTCATTAACAGTCTTTATATCAGTGTTTCTATATACATTAATCAATGGACAATCAAGAACATAATGGGTGAGGGTGTGAGACCTTAACATACCACATAGTTTACACTTTGGTCTGGTAATGACGCAGCATTGCGTGATTACCGGCGGCAAATTGGCGACGGTTTCGGGAGGGGCGCACCGCAGTTTTGGACATTATATGCATACACACCTATAGGGAATTTCATTGCGAATACAATGATACCAAATTGAAAGACCTAGGACCAGAATTGAGGTAACAAAGTTGAAAAGAGTATACCCATTTTATTGCTCTTTATTAGTGCTCACTGCAGTAACGCACCATCACGTTCTCTCTTTGCTGTGGGGTGGGACGCCGGGGTTTTGGACTTTATATTTGCATATACTCCTGTAGGGAATTCTATTGCGAACACAATGATACCAAAATGAAAGATCTAGGACGAGAATTGAGATGTCTAAAGTGAAGAGAGTGAACACATTTTATTGCTCTTGCATTCTCCCGGGTAACACACTCTCACTTTCTCGCCAGGCTTTTGGGCTTTATATGCATTTAGTCCTGTAGAGAATTCTATTGCGAACACATTGATACCAAATTGAAAAACCTAGGATGAGAATTGAGATGACAAAGTTGAAGAGAGTATACACATTTCGGTATGACCGCGCGCTCTATTGTAATGAGAGGCACCTTGGGGTGGTGCAGCGCTCTCTTTCTGGTAACTTTCATCTTGTCAGCAGGTGGAGCGTGCTGCTGTTTTTGACATTATATGCATATATTCCTGTTTGGAATTCTATTACGAACACATTGATACCAAAATGAAAGACCTAGAATGAGAATTGAGGTGACCAAAGTGAAAGGAGTGTACACATTTTATCGGTCCTGCACGCTCCCAGGTAACATGCTCTCATTTTTTCTGTTTGTTGCGGATAGTACGCTGGGTATTTGGACTTCATATGCCTTTAGTCCTGAAGAGAATTCTGTTGCAAACACAATGATACCACATTGAAAAACCTAGGACGAGAATTGAGGTAACAAAGTTGAAAAGATTATATACTTTTCAGAATTATTGCGCGCTCCCGCGGAATGCCCAAACCCACCCGGGGTAGTGTGACGCATGTGCGCCCAGAGCATCAAAGTGTTAACACCTATTCCATATTCCCAGTAATATTTGTACCCAAGCCTGAGCCGCATGTGCACAGAGTCACTCCATGTTGCTTGCTTGTGACTCAGTTTACCCAGTCCACTGATGACATTATTCAGGTACAGGCAGCTCAGGCGTTGCACTGTAGGTTTTGGTTGTTGCAACGCATTAGGTTGCTTGCTGCCCCGGAAGCCCCGAGGCTACCTCATTTTGGTTATAGGGACCCAGACTTGTGGGAGTGTTGGTCGCTTCGGCCTTGGTTCTGTCTGCACCCCCTCATCCTTCCCCTGCAGTGGTTCATCCTGGTCGCCCCTCCTTCCCTGCTTCTGGCTCTGAAGCGTCTGTGGGCTTCGGGGTCGGGGCAGGGTCTAGCTGGTTTTGAGACTCTAGCAGTCTCGGGGATGCCCCTTCTGGGGTGGCGATGGAGGCATTCAAGTTGGGTCCTCCGGTCGTGGCTTCGGGGTCTGAACAGTGGGCTCCTTCAATTTCTGCCGTTTTAGCTTCCCCGGTTTTTCTTTTGAGGTCAGGGCTTTGGAGAATGACTTGGCCGCTGGTCCTGATGTGGAGGTTCCCGGGGCGGGGGAGGGGATGGCTTGGGGGGCCTTGGGACCCATTGAACCCCACTAGGTTTTTCTACCCTCCGTGTGGGTTTGGTTCCGTGTCCCTTCGGGTCTGTCAGTTCTGTCTTTCCAGAGGTTTTTGGCTTCTCGCATCCCGCCTTCTGAGGTGCGGGAGGCCATTGCGGCTTACCTCCTGCGCGACCCAAATTACGCCTCTATTATGAATCCATCTTCTTTCAGGTTTGAGTCTTTGTCTCCCTACTGGGCTTGATATGAGGTTCCGGAGTCATCCTGGCTTGCGGACTGCCCATTGTTTTCTTTGGATGCTTGGCATGCCTTCAGTCATGCCAGGTCTCACAGTTCCATTTGTCGTGGTAGGCACTGGTGCCAGTTTCGAAGCAGGCGCTGCCTTCGGACCTGTCTTCGTCTGGTTGGCGTAGTGTTAACTCTGTGAAAAGGGCGGGTTCTGGTAAGAGGCATCGGCGATTTCTCGGTTCGTCCCATTGACAGGGCGATGGGGGGGGGAGGGCTCTGTTCGCTCATGCCTGGTCTCATGATTTGTGGGCTTTTCGGGTCGTTTCCAACAGCCTACAGTGATATTGGGTGGCCCCGCCTCTTCAGGAGGTTTAGGGCGGGTGGAGGCAGGCCTCTTTTCTTGGGCTCTGTCGGGTCATCACAGAGTGGGTGCGCTTGGGCGTTGTCGAAACGACAATGCCTCTCAGATGGGTCTCCCGCCTGTTTCCAGTCTTGTGCGAACCTGCAGTTCATTCTGGACTTTGTCCCGTCTGAACCCCTGGGGCTGAATGCCATGTCCTAGGTTCAGCCTCAGTTGGAGCCGGGCACTTGGGTGGTGTCTGGACCACAGGAACATGTATTGGCACATCCCAATTCATCCTGGGTTCATGGACTGGTTTAGGTTTGTTGTGGGACGTCTCGGTTATCGCTTTCATTGTCTCCCGTTCGGGTTGAACCTGGCACCTTGCATGCTTACACGCCTTAGCCGGGTCGTGGTGGCCCGTTTGCGTCTTTTAGTTGTTCGGGTGTTGGCCTACCTCGACGACTGGCTGGCCTGGATTCCCAGTCAGTCCTCGTGTC